CTGGGAGTTGAAGTCCACAGGTTGTAATAAAGGGGCCATGTTGGCTCGGGAATTCTGGGAGTTGAAGTCCACAGGTTGTAAAGGGGGCCACGTTTCCCCCACCTCTGCTTTGGACCAACTTGGCAATCACAGCATCTCAAGATGTGAAATGAATGCGAAATTGTTCGTTACGAATCCTGCAGCTGCTGCAGCGCCAAAGACATTGGAAAAAAGGAACTTGCGTACAAATCATTTCTGGGACTTAATGACTCACGGCTCTCACGATTCATCCCATCCGACGGAGCTTAACGGAGGCTCCGTTACCAACTGCTAACGCAGAGAGAATCACTGTTAAGCAAAGCAATTATCTTAAATTTGGATCTGATTCCTGCACTGTTTGGATGGGGAAATAATTTAAAGACGAGAGGAGCTTAATCCAAGCGTATCTTGGGCTCCTTTTTATGGGCTGCTGGTGGGAATTCAGAGAGATTATAGGGCCGTGATGGCGAACCTATGTCACGCATGCCGGAAGTGGCACGCACAGCCATCTCTGCCAGCACACGCGCTGTAGCCCCGGATCAGGTCCACTGCGCATGCACGTGAGCCTCCTGCCAGCCGATTATCTGATATCTGCCGCGCATGTGGGGGGGGGGGGTGCACAGGAGATGCGTGCATATGCACAGAGGTGCATTTGTGTGCATGTGCGGAAGCGCATGGTGCATGCGGGGGAAATCACATGTGCATGCACAGCGAGGGGTCACGCTTGCATTGCATTATGGGTGCAGGCACACACGAGCACGCACGCTCTGCATTCAATGACAAAAAAGTTAGCCATCGTTGTTATAGGGCGTTTGAAAGAGGGGAATTAGATATCAAATGATATCGGGTGGGAAAGAGGGCCGAACGTTGAATTCCCATGTGCGTTACTCAAAAATCCATAGGAGGAGGTTGTTTTCTCTTTGAGTTCTTGTTGTGGTTATCCGGCAGCAGGTGTGGACGGCTGAGGAGAGCGAGGACTCAGATGAGGGGCCAGGACCATTAGGGAGTGGACTGCTGCCTTTAGAGATTGTGGGGGCTGGCAGCAGCGATGATGAGGTTCCCAAGGAGTCAGTGCCAAGTGCGCGTGCATGCAGGATTGCTCTTTCCTATGAGCAATCAGTTATAACAGCACGGGCGACTCGGGAGTAAGGCTGCAAGGTAACGGCCCCTCCTTCCAGAGGATAAAAGCCAGCTGTGAAACTAACCTTCTTTGCAGAAGGCAAAGACGTTTTGAAATTCCAGTATATCCTGAGTTTGTGTTTGAAGATTCTTGTATTGCAAATTATTTCTTGTCTCTTATCTTTTGGCCAGCCTCGCACAGTTTGGCAAGGCTTGTGCTTATCATAGCTAATTATTTTGCAGGAGCATTACAAGGTTTCTGTTCCCTTTGGATTGTGTTTGATTTGTTGGAAAAGGCCGTGGGCCAGAACAGTTCTGTGGACAGAAGCCCCACAGATCCCTTCATGTGGCCCAGTGGTGGTCTCAGGGGGTTGGACTAGAAGACCTCCAAGGTCCCTTCCGACTCCGTTATTCTGTTCTGTTAAATAAATGTTACTAAAACTGCTGTGCCCTCAGGCAAAACAGGCCACTGACTGTCTACAGATGTTTTTCCAGTGGCATTTTGCGAAAATCTGGGTTGCACAAAGATCCTTGTTAAAAGATCCTGAGGTGTGTCGTTATGGAGCCCGTGCCTCTTTGCTTTTAATAAGGACCCCCGTCGATCAAAAACAGATTTCTGATGCATCAGCCGTGTAATGAGGTGGACAAGAAATTAAATTCTGATTGATCAAGCCATTTCCCGCCCCCACCAGCATCAGATGGCGGCTTTAAAAAAATGCAACGGATTGTATTTCTGCCTGTAATGTTTCCACATTGGGCAGAGAGACCAAGACAAATTAACCCCCCCAAAAAAGAGATTTCTTCGAACCTTTTACACATCTAATCTGTATATTAATATTAATGTCTAGATCCGTGATGGCAAACCTATGGCACGCGTGCCACCTGTGCTGGCATGTGAGCCATTTGTGCCGGCATGTGAGCTGCAGGCAAACTTACCTCACTGCGCACGCCTCACAGCTGATTTTTGGCCTGTTTGAGGCCTTTTTCGGCCTCCCAGAGGCCTGAGGAAAGTCTCTGCAGCCCCCAAAATAGGCCCGTTTCATCACTTCCTGTATTTCCGGAAATACCGGAAATGACAAAATGGGCCTATTTTTCGGCCTGCAAGGGCTTTCCTCAGGCCTCTGGGAGGCTGAAACAGGCCTCAAACGGGCCAAAAATCAGCGGGGAGGTACAGTGCACAGGAGCCCAAAAAGGTTAGCCATCACTGGTCTAGGCCCATGCAACCCAGGTCCAAATAAGAGGGTTTGTATCTAGCCCAATAAAAGGCCCCTCCAGCCCAAAATGTCCCCAGTAGCCAATTTCTTTAGCTGTTAACTAACTCATATTTATGACCATTGTATCACGTGATCCCCTTTTGAGACCTTGTGACCAGCAACATCCAGGGGGATGTGTTCTGACCTAGGCTTCCCAAGATCATGAAGCCGACTCCTCGTCCCGATAAAACCCATTTAGATTAAAGTGAATTCCTCTCCAGCAAAGTCCCGGTAACCAGTCTTTCATGAGATTTCACAATTATAGACCTTTATATCGGGCTGGGAGAGTTGCCAGGCCAATAGCTTCCAAACGCCACACTGTAGCAGCAATGACTTGGCAAGAAATCAGGAACAGATCTTCACCCTCATGAATTGAACTGTCTCCTGCAAACCCCACTCCCCTTTTGCTCCTCTTTATTCCCTATGGGAGGGGCCATTCACGTCCGCCTGTGCCTTTACTCCCGAGTCGACCCTTGTTCCTTCACTGTTCCCTTCTCCTGGCAGCTCTGTGCATGTGCACACTGGGAACAGGCTCCAGCTGTTCTTCTTCCCCACTGATCTCCGACTCCGAAGGCAGCTGATAACTGTCGGACGGCCCTGGCCCCATCCCTGCCTCTGATGCAGAGCCCTCGGCAGAGCCTTCCCCAGACTCCAGGACTGGCCCATGTTCCTCCCCAACCTCCTCAATGTCCGAGTCTTCCGCCAGCTCTGTTGGCGGACCACAACAGCAGAATCCAGATTCACTTAACAACCCTGTGACCAACTTAACAACGGCCGTCGTCCACTGAACAACTGCGGCAACGAAAGTCATTAAAATGGGGCGAAACTCACTTAACAACGGTCTGGCTTAACAGCATAAAGTTGGGGCTCCACTGTGGTCGTAACTCGAGGTCTACCTGTATTTTTCCCCCCCCCTTAACAGGTGATCAAAACCAGCCGACACACCGTATCTTGGGTCTCTCTGGCAAAGGGAGGGGAAAAAATAGAATAAAATAAAGTCGACTTTTTTTGTGTTCCATCGCTGAAAGACACTCCTGGGATAATGAAGCCGGAATGTAATGTTGTGTTACCTTAGAGCCGTTTGATGCCAAGTATTGCATCTGATCTTTGGAGGAAAGCACAAAGTTTCTTTCATTTAAGGATGCAGAGGAGAGGAGGTCACAGATAAAAAGGGAAAGGGAGAGGGGAAGAAAAAACTCAGCTCCAAGGATAGTGAAAAGACGCTATAAAGATTTTATTAGTCTAGCAGGTTACGGGTGGTTATATTACCCCCAAGTCTATCACGCCGGCAGTGAGTTATATGCGGCACTTCCTAAAAAAAAAATGGAAAAAAGAGTGGTAATAA